ATCTATCTATCTATCTATCTATCTATCTATCTATCTATCTATCTATCTATCTATCTATCTATCTATCTATCTATCTATCTATCATCTGTCTACATCAATCATCTATCTATCCATCCCTCCATTCTTTAGCAATTGATCAATCAATCAATCAATCAATCTCATATATCTAAATCTCTAGCATGCTGGCTGGGGAATTGAAGTTCACACAAGATTGAGAAACATTGCACCCAAGTTCATCCAGTTCCTTGGGGTGGGGGGTGGGGCTTAAGAAGAGACATGATCCAAGTCTTCCCATTCCTAATTCAGAACTTTCACTAGTGGACGTGCCTGGTCTTGGGCTGAGAGGTTCATTATTTGTGACTTTGCCAGCTGGCTTCAAATAAGCAAAGTCAATGGGGCAAGCTGGATTCACTTAACAATGGTATGATTCACTTAACAAATGCAGTGATTCAGTTAGCAACCGTGGCAAAACGGTTGGTAAAATCAGGCATGGCTCACTTAAAACCCCCCTTGCTTAGCAATGGGAATTCTGGCTCCAATTGTGGTCCTAAGTCAAGGACTACCTATAATTCCCTTCTCCCCCAAAAGGCATGCAATTCCATTTACCGTTCCATAGACTTTCCCTTTGCGGTTCATTGCCAAGTAAAAGCCATTGTGGATGGATCGGATGGCCACGGTTCCCACCTGTACAGAACGGATCTCCACAATGCCTGGAGGGAAACAGCAAAGAGGGCATGGCCTATTAACACAAAACAACCAGCAGGAGCTGCTCCTAATACACAAATCTCTCTGTGTGTGCATCTTTGCTTTCCTAGTGGGTTGAAGGGACTGAAGTTACACCACCCACCTTCCCAAGCTTTTGTTCCATTTTAATTTTAATTTAGCAATTTTACACCTGGAGAATATACCGTATTTTTCGGAGTATGAGATGCATCTTCCCCCCCCCCTCAAAAGAGTGTGGAAATATTGGTGCGTCTTATACACCAAATACAACCATTTTTGGCCTCCTGAAGCCCCGCCTATGCACCCCATTTTTGCGAAAAATGGGCCATTTTTTACAAAAATGGAGATGTTTTTGCCTTCCCCCAGTCCGCAGAAGTACTCTGCAGGCTTCAGCAGGGCTGGAGGAAGGCAAAAATGCCTCCGTTTTTGTGAAAAATGGCCCATTTTTTGCAAAAATGGGGGTGTTTTTGCCTTTCCCCCTGCCCTGCTGAAGCCTGCAGAGTGCTCTTAGGGGCCGGGGAGGACAAAAAGTTTTTTTTTTCTTACTTACCTCTTTGAAATCTTGGTGCATCTTATACACTGGTGCGTCTTATAGTCCGAAAAATACAGTTAAGTATCTAGGGGTCAACTGATAAAAGATCAACTTCTAAAAACAAGAAGGTGGAATTTTAGAATTATACTGTTTTACTCAGGAAATACTCCTTTCTGCTTTAAATTATTCACTGCATCCTTGCCTCATCCCCATTGTAGTGTATATATGTGTAGATTGTAGATTGCCTGAAAATCCCATTGTGCTTAGGTTCATTATGTGAACTCATTCGATGGTAGTTTATTCAATCATGGTCAAGCAAGCATAGTTCACAGTGCACAAACCAGATGATGAGGCTCGTTTAGCCAGGGAGTTTCTAAATTTTTCCTTTAAGCAGTAGATCCCAAAGGTGTTTTTTTCAAGAAACAGCTGGACTTCCTTGTTTTTCTTTGAAGACATTTTGCTTCTCATCCAAAAAAACCTTCTTCAGAGCTTCTTGGATGAGAAGCGAAACATCTTCAAAGAAAAACAAGTAACTCCAATTGCCTCTTGAAAAAACACCTTTGGGACAACCATGATCTGGATGTCTGAGAATCTCCACAGACATTAGGGAGTGGGCTTCCCAGTTGTCACCAGCACCAACGACACAGATAAAACCAGGGGCTTTCAGATCATGCGAATTTGTGCCAAGGGCCACATGATGACATCATGTCTTTAACCAGTGGTTCCCAATATGAACTGATCGTGGTGTGGAATGGAATTTCAGGGAGTGGGACAAAGAGTGTCTCATTAAGAAGAGATCTAGAACATAGAACTAAAGAGAAATTTCTGACAGAACAATCAACCAGTGGAACCTGGGTAGAACTTGCCTCCAGAAATCGTGGGTGCTCCAACACTGGAGGTTTTAAGAAGAGAATGGACAACCATCTATCTGAAATGGTATAGGGTCTCCTGCTTGAGAAGGATATTGAACTAGAAGCCCACCAAAATTTCTTTCCAACTCTGTTATTCTATNATGGGCAGCTTCCATTACGATCGTAAGTTGAGGACTACCTGTAATTACGAACTATGGCTTAATGTGTTGCGTCAGCATAGGCCAAGGGTAAGCAACCAGCGGCTCTGGAGCCGCATGTGGCTTTCATCCCTCTGTTGCGGCTCCCTGGCACCAGTCGACTCCACAGTTGATCGGGTTAGGGTTAGGGCTTTTGGTTAGGTCAGGTAGAGGAAAAAGGATGCCGTGCTAGGAGGAGACTCTATGGTGGGGTGAAGAACCAGACTTCTGGTTGGCAGAGGAAAAGGATGCTGCGCTAGGAGGAGACTCTATGGTGAGGGAACCGGTCTTCTGATTGGGAGAGGAAAAAGGATGCCGCGCTAGGAGGAGACTCTATTGTGGGGGAACCGAACTTCCGGTTGGCTCCAGAATTGAACGGGAGGCTTTCGGTTAGGACCTTTGTGGTTCTTTGAGTGTTTAAGGTTGCCGACCCCTAGCATAGGCAATTGTGGATTATTCAGTAATACTAACCAAAGCCTGACTTAATGCAATGAGGGAATTAGGTTTCACAAGCAAATGAGCTCAATCCATTTATTTTCTAGTTGCTATCACTCAGCCTAACCTTCCTCACAGGATTGTTGTAGGGATATCTATACTGCTTTAAGTGTCTGGGAGCGAGGTGGGGTGGGGTGGGGAGAACATCAAGGCATCCATTAATAAATGGCTTAATTATAGTGTTACCTGCAAGGGGTGGGGGGTAGTTTGACAAATTCTGCATTTAGAGCCGTTCTTTTATTCCAGGCTGTGACTACGACAAAATAAGAGAAACTAACAAGACTTCGGCAGTTTTGCTGGTTTCTCTCTACCTTTTTAAATTGGGAGCTGAGATAAGAGTCATTTATGACAACTTTACAGCGTGGCCCTGGATTGCACCACTCAGTTTCACACCTTAAAGCACTGTCATGACCCAAATCCCCAAATTTCATTCCTCTCCTGAGCTACTTTAAAAGGAGAGGGAAACAAATAATAATAAAAAAAAAAAGCAGAGGAACCCCGATCTTTATGGAATGTGACCAATCCAGTCTGCTGCATTGTTTTAAGGTCACCCTGACCCCATTTGCTCCTAGGAGAGCACCACCCGGGAAAAATATCTCCCGTGCTGTGCTTGCAATCATTTCTGGGAGGAGGAGAAAGAGGCTACAGGGCTTTGACGCAACCTGGATTGGTTTGGAAGCTGAAGTTAGCCTCCAGCATCAGCCTGGCAGAGGAATTTTTAAAGAACCCTTTAAAGGAATTTAAAGCCTAAATGGAATTTACACTGTCCCGAGAAACAACATCCAAATGTTAAAAACGACAATTTTTGTGCTTTTGGTACGGATGGATCATCCACGGATATATAGTATGTAAGTTAGTGTCTCTCAAACTTCGCAACTTTAAGATGTGTGGACTTCAGCTCCCAGAATTCCCTGGCCAGCATGGAATTCTGGGAGTTGGAGTCTGCACTTCTTAAACTTACAATTTACATCTTCAACAGACACAATACATCCAATCTTAGATCTTCTAAGGTGGGAATAAGAATTGGATATGAATGACCAGCTTCTGAAGATGGTAAAGAAAGGTGTTAGCCTGTTTTCAGTCCATCCATCAAACTGGTTCGGCAAATAAACTAAATCTGACCCACTTTCAGAGTTTCGAAAGGGAAAAATATACTTGTTTTTCTTTCCTTCTTTGATATTTCAGTGCTCGCAAAAAAACTATCGCAGAAGAGAAACTTGGCATGAATTTTAGGAGAAGCAGAAACTCTTTTTCACTTCCTGCTACTTTAATCCAAGCCAACGTCTCTTGGATTTACTGATATAAACATTTTGAGCACTTCGTTGACTCTGTAGTGCTTGTCATTCTCCTGGGTATGTGTGAACCACCCCCCCACCCATCCCTGCAATAGAAATACATACAACTTTTTACTCTCAGGGTTTAGAATCAAAGCAAAAATTCTTGACGTAGTTTTGGGAATCGACTCTTAGATTGCAGAATGATGGAGCTTAGCAGCTCAGAATTATCCACATTCCAGCAGGTCTACAACATTACTTTAAAATTACAAACAATTTGGCAACAATTCTGAGTGGTGATTTCATATTCTATTTTGGGTTTCCTTGTTGCATTTCACCTGTCTAGAACTGTGTCACCACAGCCTCACTCCTGTTTAACTCGTTGGCATCCCACAAGTGTTGCAAGAGCGAGGCTGTTTTTCACCAGAGATATTTTTCTGGAGTTTTTATTTCCCATCTAGTTCCGCCCTACCAACCAACCCCCCCCCCCCCCCCAGCTTCAAAACAAAACGAATTCTAAGCTAAGGAGGCAGGTAAGTAATGTTTTCCAAGCTCTGCATCTTTTTTAAGGTGTGTGGACTTCAACTCCCAGAACACCTTGGGATATTGACTAGGGGATTCTGGGAATTTTCATGCTGGCTGGGGAATTCTGGGACTTGAGGTTCATACAGCTTGAAGGTGTAGAGGTTGAGAAACACCACTACAGACATTAAATACCAGGGGCATTTTCTTTGGGGTCCTCCAGCCTCGTTACCTGGTTTTTTTGAACAAACCTAAAGGTAGGCTCAACCTACAACCACAATTGAGCCCAAAAGTTTCCAACGCTAATCAAGACAAAGGGACTTTTGCCCCATTTTCACAACCTTTCTTGCCACAATAATTACCGTTTTCCTGAAAATGACCTATCTCAAAAATAAGCCCTANAATTTCTCCTCAGTTCTAAGTTGCTTCTCTCCTTGATTAGTTTCCACCCATTGCTTCTTGTTCTACCCTCAGGTGTCTTGGAGAATAGTTTGACTGTCAGCAAGTAGACATTTTGCCCAATGACTCACGTAACGCTTGAGCATGACTACAGGTCAGGCAGTCCTCAACTTATGAACACAATTGAGCCCAAATTTTCTGTTGCTAAGTGAGACATTTGTTGTTTTGCCTCATTTTACACCCTTTCTTGCCACAGTTGTTAAGTGACTCGTGGCAGTTGTTGTTAGTAACATGGCGGTTGTTAAGTGAATCTGGATTCCCCATTGATTTTGCTCATCAGGCGGTCTCAAAAGGTTATCACATGACTCCAGGACACTGCAACTGTCATAAATATGAGCCAGTTGCCAAGGATCTAAATTTTGGGGAAGTTGCAATGTGAAAAACAGCCATAAGTCACGTTTTCAGTGCCGTCGTAACTTTGAACAGTCACTAAATGAACTGTTGTAAGTCGAGGACTACCTGTAGACCCACAAGTATACAACCTGGGCTGCCTGCCACTTCCCTCCTTGTCTTCCTCCTATTCACTCTTCAAGCTCAAGCTTTTAATTTGACTTTTATTAGGTCCATCCCTTTAAAAAAAACAATATTCAATTCTCATCTTTGGTATTTCTCCTCAGAAACCTCAGGAGGAGTGTTTCCTAAAATCTTCTTAATTTA